TATTATCAATATTTAAAATCACAACTGTCTTAAACACTAAGTGAAAACACAATTAATATAACACATTAAAACACTAAAACTTTTTAAAGATTATTTATCAGAACATAATTATAATTATACATAACGAAGGTCATATTTAAAAATCGCTGCAATACACGCTTTTTAAAACACTCCCGTGTGCTAGAAAATTCATAAATTTCCACAAAAGTTATACCATCAGATGCAAAATTCATTTTGAAATAAAATGGTATACACTTTAACTATGTTGGAGTAAATTTAGGACCGTACGTGTGATTCTAACGGCACTAACCGTGTGATTATGACGCTGCCGCGTAATAATCACACGCGTGGTATATTACCACGCGTGCACCGGAACAATATTTTTTTAAAATAATAGTGTAGTCTTATTATTTGGTGATTCAAGATTCAAGATTTTATTAAGGCACAAACATAATGTCTATTGCCATAAACAATAATGGCGAGTATACATACATATAAACATATTAACATATTAACAAATGCATAAAAGATCTAAATACGAGAAAAGTAATATTACATATATAATATCACAGTCATGAAATAAATATTAAGACTATTATAATCAATGTTTGAAATTAGTTGGAATTAGCTACCAGTTGTTTCTCTAGCTAAAGTTGCATAGTAAATAAATTGAGATAATTTCTTTATAACATTCTGTTGTGAGTTATTCATTAACATTTTAAATTTGTGTACATTTGGCCAAGAGCAGTAGTATTTAGGTAAATATTCTCTTCGTAGATCAATGTAATACGGACAAGCAAGTAAAAAATGATATTCCGTTTCCACTACATTCATATTGCGTTTTAAACAAAATCGTTGATTTTTTTCAATATTTCTAAATCTTCCTTCTTCAATCATTAATTTATGAGCAGAAGATCTAAAACGTGAAAGGGCTATTCTATATTTATTATTTATAATACAATCAAGATACTTCTCTTTTCCAAACGTGCTTTTTATTAAACTATACGTATCAAGTTTGCTAGAATTATTAATTTCAGAAAACCATTGTTGATAATATTGATCATATATACGTTGGATAATAGACTTAAGAAAAATAGAATGTGGGTTATCAAATAAGTAAGAAAAGCCTAAGTCTTGAGATGAGCTTGAGGTGAGATAAGCAGTTTAAACGTTCAATCATGACAGATCCAAACTAACAAACAAATATTAAATTAAATGTTAAAATGCTATATTATTCTTAATTGGTCCGTTTAAACTTTACAAATAAAATAATCTACAAATGTATTTCGACTAAGGACTTACACAAAACTGTCTTAGACATGACGAACAATATTAAAACTTGATTTACCACGGCTGAATATCTGTTTTTAAGTTTCATCTTGTTTCAGTTGTTTTACAGATTCTCAAACATATAATATTAATTTGACTAAATGATCCAGTTGAGTACCTCCGTAAATATTTGTTTCAGCCCCTAATCATGACCTCTTTGATAAGATATTGAGCAATCGTTTTACTATTACTGTAATAGTTGAAACCTAATCATTATCTTTCCTGAGCGCTCAGTCAGCACATGCGCTTAAGCGTTTTTGATTATTTTTTATTTAAAACGATACATTTATCACATTCAATGCCAGAGGTTTTTTTTTAATAAATTAAATTTTATATTTTTCCTGTATACTTTTTTCACATAATTAGAATATATTGCATTGATTGGATGAAATTTCTTTGTTATATTTGAACTGTTTAACATAAAGTTAAAATAAACAATAAAAAAAACAACTCTTACATCTCTTAGAAAGGTAAATTTTGTGTCACTGTGCAGAGTCTAATGTAAATGTATTGTTTGAAATAAGCTATTTAAGATGACATCTATTTTAATTGTCCAGTGTATTAAAACCAAGTTTATGTAAACAGATCGGGTTTCAGAAATAATGAGGCCTTTGTTTAAAAGATGATTTAGATCAATTTAAAATTAATCCAGACAGTATCCTTCAAAATGACGTTGAGGATGTTCCACCTTGGACGTATAATTCCCCGAAAATAAATATTAACCTTTCAAATATAAAAAAGGTCATCAAATTCACTTGAACATTTCAAAGAGAAGTTTCTAGCAATTAAGGAAAAACATGAAGATTTTATACATATTTATACTGACGGTTCAAAAGAAGGTTGCAAAGAAGGTGCAGTTGTGTTTGGAAATAATTTTACATCTAGTATGACGTTACCAGATAATGCATCAATTTTACTGCTGAAGCAAATTTCATTGTCATATATAGTACAGCATTCCCATAACTTACAAATTTGTGATATTTTATGACTCGCTTTCTGTTTTAATATCCATTAATTTAAAATAATATCTGATTATTTATTATCTATTTAATATCTGACAATATCATGATAAAGAAACTTCTTTTACGATTTCATAATATACTTAAAACAAAATATGTTAAATTATATTTGATTCCAAGTCATGTAGGTATACGAGGAAATAAAAAAGTAGATGCTTTAATTAGCTAAACAATCATTAAATTTTCAAAAAAACTGCCTTATTGTTACCTGCTTGTGATTTTAGACCGGCTATAAATAAACTCGTATCATCTAAATGGAAAGCAAATTGTGACAATGCCTTTTTTAATAAACTTCACGATATAAACCCATCTCTTGATGTGTCACCATCTCTATCTCTGTCAAACCTCCATGATCAAACAGTTCTTCTTCGATGCCGAATTGGACACACTAAAATTACCAACTTATATCTCCTTACGAATGACAATGCCCCTTCCTGTGTGGCTTGTAATGAAAATTTTACTGTCAAACATTTTTTTCTTGAATGTCATGATTTTTCACAGGCCCGTAATAGATTTTATTGTGAAAATTCACTCAAAGAACTCTTTAATTCAATTCCATCAAAAACATCATTGATTATTTGAAAGAGATAAATTTGTATTCTAGGGTCTAATTGACTCATTTTCATTATCATTTATAACATTTTATACCTATTATAGCATTCGGCACGATATTGTCAGTTATGTGTTGACGTGCCGTAAAAAAAACAAAAAACAAAAACAAACAAACAGAAAAGAAATGATATGCTGAATATTGTCTCCGTCGCCGTTAAAATGTGGTCTACACATTTTTAATCGGTATATAATTTTACAAAATGCGAAATTGTTAACATAAATTGTTCTTGCACATGTGACTATCTCTAAAATAAGGGTACGGTACTTCTTAATGACTTTTAAATTTATATTCATCTTTGTACTTTCAAAAAAAGTATAAACAATATTTTTTTCTGAGGCATGACGTGCCTTAAATTATTTAATGAACAAAAATAACACATATGACACAAAGCTTTTGAATTTAAAAAAATGTAGGTCCAATACAGATTATTATAGCCTTAATAATAAATTATTCGTCAAGTATTTGTAGAAAGAAAGTTAACGTTGCATTTGACAAGTTAGACCTGATAAATTCTGATGATGAATGTATGTGTTTAATTATTTCATATTCAAGTCCTTTCTGTCTAGTATCAATACTTTGGGAAAGTTTGTGACCAGTGCTTGAATTTACTCTGAACATGTTCGCATTGCCAGGTTCTTTTTCTGTTTTATGCTAAAGTGTTGGGCATCAAATGTTAAATACATGTATGTGCCAAGAGCAACAAGGTCAAAATATGTTTGATAGGATAGGAACTTAGTATTTTATTAAATATTTTTCGATGTCCTGATAGAAACCGTAAATTGCCAGGGATTAAAAAGTAAAAACGATCTCTAAAACAGATAATATATTTAAATGAGATGTCTGTCTTAGTGATATTTTACAAATTTTGTAGTGACTGTTTCAAAAGACTCGTCCAATTTGATTGTTGATGTCCGACATTGCATTATATGGGCGGAGAACGATTAATGTAATTGTGACTTCTATTTAATGTCGTTCAGTACTGTCCCAGTCTGGCTGATGTAACCATTGTAACAGCCCAGCAGCTGAGATTATAAAACGCGAATTACTTTAAAATTATATAGTATAACAAAGTGCCTTACATAGCATATCAGAGTATGGCTCTTTTCAAAATCCTCGATAACTGACATTGATACATTCCACGTCATTTGAGCGTTGGATTTCTGTGATATGAAGTTTAATTTTTATGGATGTATAACTCATTGATTCGATAACTTCGTCCGACGTTTAAACGTCCGGAAATTTGCGCAATCATCATAAATTGTCTCCAATTGAGAAAATCTATTTCAGAATGATTTAAAATTAAATATGATAAAAGGAACCCAACACAAATATTCTGATTGTCAACCAAAATAAATGTGCAAGAGACGTTTATTCATTTCAGAAAGTTAGGGCAGTTTATACTTATTCTTTCATTTTCTGTATTTTCACTGTAAAAATAAGTAAACCGCAGTGTAACATAATTTCCGTATTTTTACAGTGTATCCTTACAACTTTTCTTTTCGGATCAGTCAATATACAAAATTAAATGGAATATCTTTCAAAGGGTCAAAAAAAAAGAAAAGTTTACGATTAACAGCAAATACAAGATTTTTACAAATACATACGGGATTATTTGCATCGAGTTGTATTCGTGAAATCAATACGATGAAAATAAATCACATATTTATAGACACAAACTTGGATATGATCCCTTATGTACGTCTATTAGTTATGGTTAACAACACACATATATGTCCCGCTTCATATATAATTTCAGGTCTATAAAATTGCTTCATTTGATTGAATTGTGGTCTACGTTACAAAACTGTTTCGAATATTAAAAGCTATTGCAATCTGCACACATACACATAAACTTTTTTGTGAAACCAAATGTAACAATTCCATATGACATGAAACTAATTTAAAAGTAGATTTTTAACGTTGCAAGTTTTTTTATAGCGATGTTTTATCAGAAATAATAATTTTATTCCATTTTTGTAGACGCGTAGATCATGTAGATATTCTTTGCATAGCTTGAAATATTTTAATTTTAATTGCAGATCGGTTGGACTAATAAATCATTCTCAATATTTATTATAGATTCATCATGGCAGAGGCACAACCACAAATGGGAGGAATAAGAGGAATTATAAACAGGTGTGCTTTTGAACATTTGAAATTATTGTATATTTATATTTGATTTTATGAAATGCTGATTAAAATGATGAATAATGATAAATTTAAACTATCTTTCAGTTTGGTAACGCGTAATTGGTAGTCAGTTATATGACATCGCAAATATAAAAAGTGAACTTGTTTTATATAAGAACTTTTTGCAAATCTCAAATTTACAAACGTTTTAATTCCTATTTCAAGGTTGGTAAGAAACTTTTACAGTTATGTTCCAACGGAAAGAGCTTCAAGAGGCGACATTTTTGATAAATACAAAATGGAAATACAAAATAAGGGAATAAATGGTCTAAAAAGTCTTCTTAGTAAGGACTTGAAAAATTGGTCAGATGTCGAACTACATGCAGCTGTCATTGGGGGTACCGGATCTGGGAAGTCAACTTTCATCAATTCAATAAGAGGCCTGAGAGCTAAAGATCAAGGCGCTGCGAAAGTTGGTTCTAATGAAACCACAACACAATGTCAACCATACAAACACCCACTTAATGATAAATTTGTTATTTGGGACCTGCCTGGAGTTGGAACACCTTCTTTCCCTATGGGAACACCTTCTTTCCCTATGGACAGTTATTTAGAAAGAGTCAGCTACGATAAATACGACTTTTTCATCATAATGACTAAGGACAGATACACCGTAAATGACGAATGGCTAGTGCTTGAAATACAAAAGCTGAAGAAAACCTTTTTCTTCGTACGTGCAAACATCGATAGGGATATTCAAAATGCCGAAGAAGATGTTACTGATTAGGATGAAAAACAATTTCTTCAAGAAATTAGATCGAGAACAATCGAAGAACTTGAAAAGTGTAGAGTGGTTGCTCCAAAAGTTTTTCTGGTTAATAATCGTAAATGGAAAGAATATGATTTTGATAAACTACAGAACGAAATGCTTGCATCATGCAATAGTTTGAAGAAGGATTCCTTGGCACTGTCTTTATCTGCAGTTACACTGGAAGTAATTGATGAAAAGAAAAGAGTTCTGCAAAGCAGAATATTTCAGGTGGCTCTCAAGGTTACATGCACCTCAGAGGAAGATATACAACGACAGATATTTCGAGATGAAATAAAATTTTATCAACAGCAATTCAGCATAGATGAGAAAACCATGAACGAAAATAAGGACATATTGTCACTTACTAAAGACAACCTAAAGGAGTTCACTGTTGTCTTCGATGCGGGGCAAATGTCTATGCAAACGCCAACAGCCATGAGGGAAGACACAACGCTATGGGAACGTTTTAAAGATATTTTTACGTTAACTAAAGAGAACAAACTTCTCTTTAAATTTTGCACAGGGGCTTTGGAAAACAACCTTGAGGTGCTATATAAAAATCAAGAAGCTTCTACGACGAGCACAGAGTCAAACAACTAATCAATGCAATTCAAAAGTAAAGGGTCTTTAAATAAGGTATTTATTTAGTAAGATACATCTTTAATGTATCTCGATATCTTTGGATTGTCTTCCTGACAATTATTTTAAAAGTGGTCGAGTGAGTTATTATAGAGAAATGTGTTCCGTGTCATTGTTGCATATTTTATATCCATATACTTATAAATGTAAATAGAAGACAATGTGTGCTTTTTAAGAAATGGTAAGTTAAATAGACTGAGACATTTTAAATCATTTCATATGATTTGACAAATCTAAAATGATTCTTATAATTTATGTGTACAGCGTTCACATTATAATTTAGTTTTGCGATTTAGTATAAGAAAAATAATTTATAGTTTTTATTTTATCATTTGATATATGATTTGATTTATATGTGCATCTTATTTGCTTCATACGTAGAAATTATATGTAGACCCTTTTTGTTGAAAACAATTGAATTAAGAAATAAAGTAATTTGACTATAGACGGGTTTGATTTTCAGAAAAGACCTTCCGTTAAGAGTCTAACGGCATTTTTTAGTACAAGCAGGTAGTCAATCGTTTTTACATAATTCGGGTACGCTGAATCTATTTTTTGCTCTACCACGGCTGTACTTGAAGTCCTTGACCTTCAAAAGGTCAAATCAAAATGGCCGCCATTGTCCTTTACCATCTACTTAAAAGATTATTTTTTTCTGGTACATATCGTATCGTATTTCCGTTAATCTACATGAAATAAAGTTTCAATTATTTTAAGGAATAATTGGCTGATAATTATACATGCTTTACACATTAACTGCTATGCCGACCATCTTTGATTTCAAAATGGACACCTTTTTAATAAATATAAGTAAAGTGCTTTTAAACAAATGGATCCGTCTGTAGGAATGAGTATCAAAAATTGAATAATGATATGAGCAACATATCATGTCGATTTGTACACACTGTGTAGGTATACTCCACACTTTAATTTACATCATTACTTCAAACTATCACAGGTCATTCTTTTTGGACAATTAATCTATATCAGGTATCTAAGATCCAAAATGTCTTACATAAAACCTGCACATTTTAATTTACCATTAGATGTTTAAGTAATTTTTATTTTGATAGAATAGCATTTGTGTAAACCTTTATGGACACTAGATCATTTTATTATGAATGCCAAGAGTCAAGGTCAGTATGTAAATATATTAAAAATTGCCTGTCATCTTCACAGGTCAGCGACTATGTCTTTGAGCCCGCATGACTTTGCAACAATATCTTTTGTACGACCCGATTTCAAATAGAAAAAAAACAACAACAACAGAATCCCAAAACAGCGATCAAAACGGCAAAATTGAAAACGTTTTAGGCTCGATTTGATTGAGCCTGTACATGGACGTTACTGGAAATTGCAAAGTACCGTCCAAGCACCATAGCACCGGCCTACGCAAAATTCAAATATCAAAGGGGGAAATTGTAAGATTTAGAATTTAGAAACATCTGCAGATGTGTTTATAAGATACTTTTTATTGTTGTATTGATATAGCTACTTTATAAAGGGTCGTATTTATCAATCAAACTTTAAACATGCCTAGACATGGTTAAAAACAGATCATCTATTTATTAATTGAAATAAACTCAAATAAATGGTAAAGTCATTTTAATCTTTATTATCTTTCACCTTGAAAAAAAGTCTCGCAAACATGAACCATAAACAGTCTACGAGCATCCATAAATAAATGACAAAGATATAGACACAACCATCAATGTTCTAAATTGACATATCCAGCTATCAACCTAGTATTTAAGCATTACAAATTGTCCTAATGTGCCACAAATTTATGCCTAGTTACGCCAATATCCATCCATTGAATGACAGAATTCATGACCGGACATGACCTTCAAAATATTTATATGAAATGACATATGACCTTTAATGTCTGAAATCTTACTTTTTGCGATAATTCTTTTCTCACTCAAGACAAATTGTTTCAAAGTACCGCATATTTATTCTTAGCTCCCGCTGAATAACACATATATGGACTGGACATGGCCACAAATGCACTCTCATATCATGACTTTTGAAATACAAGTGTGACGATGGAACTTTTGTCCGCTACATGTCGTCTTATAAAGAGGCGCCATATTTATCCAAAAATGATTTTTAATTCATCCATGAATGACAAAATCGTTAACCAGACTTTTTAGAGACTTTAAGGAAATATTTTGTTCGAAGGGAAAGTATGATTTTGGTCTTTGATTTACATCATCAGCTGGGTTTTACATGTGACTCATTGTCCCAATGTGCCATATATTTATGCATTTTTTTTTTATTATTTATGAATTATTTCAAAAGGCATCAATTAATGAGAAAGTTATAGATCGTTCACAACATCTTGTTACGTTTATATCATGATTTATGATATAGAAGTTTAACCCTGTTTGCTGCTTGTGCATGACACGACTGTTTCAAATTACACATTTGCGCAAAGATATTGTCGTTCCAGGACGGCAGCATATACAATTAATTTGATTCATTGACAAATAATCTTACCCGAACTCCGCCTGCTCTAGGCCACTCCACACAGATAATTTAATATGACAAGTCCTAACACAGGAGCCTCAACCACCATGTTCTTGTCGGGTTACATATAAGCAAATGAAATACTATCCTCATGCACGAAGCTCGGCACTAGTATGAAGAGGCTTCTATGGGATAAACACCATATGGAATATTTCTCTTACAAGAAGAAACTTTAACTTTATTATTCAGGAAAGTAGTCTATTTCATGATAAAAAATATTGTTCGAATGCTAGCCTGGATGGCGATTCCTATATTACTTTTGGAAATACTAAGACAGACTTTTTTTTAAAAAATCAGGTCGTGCATGAAAAATTGTTGACCGGGTTCCCCACTTATGAACTTTTCTTGATAGACATGACCCTGATCTTTGGACTGTTAAATTGACTCTCAAGCATTACACGTCCCAGTACATGTTCTTGTGCAATAGACATTGACATAAGCAATAAACAAACAATTTTCATGGTATCCCTGTTTGAAGATTAAGTAATAATATAAAGTATATCATTTCCCAATCCGTTATACGCCGTATATTTATGCTTAACTATTTTAAAATTCATCTCTAAATGACAGAATACTAAAATGCACATCTTTATTCAAGCACTTTCAAGTCTAACTTGAGGAGTTGAGCTTCACACCTGGGTCTTTCTTATGACATTGTATCAATGTGCCACACATTAATGCAATTTATTTCAAAATCTATCCAAAAATGACAGATATGTACGGGATTAAAAACGGACTGACAGGGACAAGCTCTTACTGGGAGATTTGTTAAGATGCCTGTTATCTTCATGTTTGTTTCTTACTCCAAAAGCAGCATTTTGCCTCCAATAATCAATGATTCATCCTATAGGTCGGGGGTATACGGAATTAATCTAAAAGCCAAATTGTGATCGCAAATACCCCTAACTGACACAAGAGAACGCTCGGGCAGATAGACAGACGGACAGATATTTGAGCAGATCCTCCCTAAGGACGATAGTTTTAAAAAACATCGCAATAATTTAAAGAACATGCATTGTATTCTAAGAAGTATAAAAAACATCTAAATGACAAAAGTGAACGCAAATATGACTCATTTACGTTGTATTAGGGTATAAATTGTGACCTTTTTGCACCATTAAGTTTGTAGTTTTAATGGATGTCTTTCAAAGTCTTCGCTTGGAAGTCTTAATAAGTATCATGAAACTTCTAATAAAAGAAAAAAATGCTTAGTAAAATGCCTTCTTGTACTTGTTTACTTTAATTATAATACAGTGTATAAAACATAGGACATTGTCCGCCATTTTGAAATCCAAGATGGCTGCCGCAATAAATTTTATTGTTTTTGCATCTATTCTTCTCGTCCACACTTCAGTAGACTAAAATTAACAAAGCCTTAAATTAAAATGCCACAAAATGTGTATATATCTCGCCCATGGGAGAATAAAAGTAAAATTAAACAAGAGGGCCATGATGGCCCTGAATCGCTCACCAGAAACTGTTTTTCAGTGATTTTTCAAATAGTCCATGTCAACTTTAACTTGCCTCTCTAGTTGTAAGGTTTCCCGACACTGATTGTTTTTTCTTTATAGTAAAAATGATAGGAACTAAGTTTGGGTCAATATTTATTTAAGATAACATAGGTATACTAATCAACTCAACCAGAAAGTTAACATTTGAGGTTAATTATCTTACTCTCTAATAGAAATGGGAAAAATTGTAACTTAAACTACATAGAGGAAAAAGGCAAAAGGTTGTTTTGATGAAATGTATTCAGTGAACATGAAAACAACTTTACATACATTGTATGAAACAGTACAAAGTTACTTTCAACAAGTGATAACCAAGTTTGCAAAAATGTGATTCTGAATAGAAATAAT